TATATATATGTACATATATAACTCATGACAATAAATTATATATTAGTATTTCCGTGCTCTAAAGTTGCAACAAAACATCGAGATATCGTTGTTATCGCGTGTTCAAGGCTTTCTAAGCACGGAGAATAATGAGGTATTTGGGAGAATGGATTTCAATGTTGCATTCAAAATTGATTGAGCGATAATCATAGTTCCCCTTGCACGAGTTTTCACGGCGTTAAGATTTAATTTTCCTAGCTGGATTACGAACAGTTGCTGGCTTACAGTATGCATAATTTAAATAACAATCATACCGTTGGGTATTGATTTAAAAGCACGTGCATTGATGGGGCAATAAATACATTAATGCATCGTAAACGTGACTTCGTTTTAAAAGCGGCTTAATGTTTCGCTGCTCCAAGTTGAAAATATTGTTTGTTTGGAGAATTGGAAAAAAAGTCTTTTTAAAAATTCTTACCGTAAACATCAATAATAATTTTTTAATCATTAGAAGTTAACTATATTAAGTCTTATATTTATATGTAACTTTTGTTTCAAATACTAAAAATTGGTAATTTAATTATTTTTTTTTTAAATTTATTTCGGTGAAATCAAGTCATTTGTGTTCATTTAAATATGTTAATATTATGTTTTGGTGAATTTCTTTAGTTAATCGTAATATTATATTAATATGTATGGCAATATATATTAATATAATATTATAGCAAGCGTCAGATCTTCATATTAAAATTAAAATACACAATTTATCATGCATACATACACCATGCATCACAAATTTTGAATAGTGAAAGTAAGTTTGCATTAATACTAATAAGAATTTCCTTTTCAAGATACCACTTTAACGTTTAAAGATTTGATAGCTCTGATTTCTCCTACAAACATATTACGTATTTAAATTTTTGATACTGTCCCGTTATAGCCTAGTTGCGAAGAGGAACAAATTAGGGACCACTAAGGCAACCCTTCACATCAAGAGGCACTTAACCAAAAAAAAACAAATCAGTATAGGCATCACCTCCTATATCAGAGAGCCTCCACACGGTTTTTCATAAGTAGTCCGCGGAGACTATTTAAAAATTAAACCGGTTGTGAGCATGAACCCAAAACCTTCTTTAAAAGTAATTGAGAGAAATTTACCATATATTTTTTTGAGAATTGAATCTGTAGTGGTTGACAAGTAAATAAGACAAACCAATTATATTCATAAATTAAACAAATTTTTTGACATATATTTGCTACCACTTTCTTAGTTTTACTAGATTTTGTATTAAAGGACTTTTTCGTTAACAGGTTAACATTCATAGTGGTCTGATCGGACTACCTATAAAAAACCGTGTGGAGGCTTTCAGTTGTAGGAGGCGTTGGTATAGGGTATACCAGGCAGTTTAATTTAGTAGATTTTTATCCATCACTACTTCTAAACAACTCGTAGTCTGTTGTTGTTGTTGCTGGCCCACACGGTTAGCGGAGCTAAACCAAGTCCATGACTCCAGAGACTCTGAGCAAGTCTGTAACAAAAAGTGGATCTGAAACTCGTAGTCTTATGTAATTCACCACTTTTTTCTGAAATGTCATGCTGAACCTTTTAAAAAACTAGCAAAATCTGTCTAATATTTGCAAATTTAGTTTGTAGTTATTTACCATTGTGCCCAGACGGGCAAGCCATATGTAAAATTAACGTGGCATTTAACGTGTTAAGGGAACCTGCGATACTATAAAGTGTTAAATGTCTCTATTACTGAAAATTCTCTTTTAATTTGTAAGTAAAGATATCAGTTTAATCTTACCTGAAATCAGAGTGTGCGAGGAGACTTTTCATCGTCTTGATCTGTTGAAAATGAGAGGACATGTCTGTCGCCAGAACCATATCAATGACTAGAGCTCGAAACTCCCTATGAAGAAAACACTTATTGTCATAAAATTAGTTTTATATTTTGATGAAAAAAATCAGATAAAAATTGATATATATA